TAATAATAATAATAATAATAATAATAATAATAATAGGCTAGTAGTAGTATATTTTACACTTTCAAAAATGATGGCACACTCGCTATAGCTGCAGTGTATTGTGGGTCGAATCGCCATTGTGGGTGTATACAACTCAAATGCCAGTATTTGTGTGCGGCATTATCTCTGGTAAGATGGGACACTCATGCTTCAGTTATGGGAAGCTGTGCTGTTTTTATATTGTACATATAAATACAGTAGTATTGGAGTAGTAATGGAGTCTATGCTGTGATATTCACAGTTACTCTGTCCGGCACAATTTTAATGGCTTTTTTTTATTATCTTTAAGCAGACAAAACATCTTATGTTAACATACCCAAGTCTTTGCTCTTCTACAGTAAATATATTGTCTATTCAGGGAGATTTGGGCTTAACAGTCAATTGGTAGAGAAAAACAAACAAGAATTTGCAGGATGTGATTGCTACATTCATGCAGTTGTAAAAAGCATGCCAATGTATTAAGTAATCCAAAGTATTCAGAATACGTTACTCACATTGAGTAACTTAATGGAATACATTACAAACTACATTTTGGGGCATGTATTCTGTAATCTGTAGTGGAATACATTTTAAAAGTAACCTTCCTAACACTGCAAACATATCTGGTACCCCCTGAAAGGCAAGGGCCTAGGCTATATCTCAACCAAATTTGGTCAACTTTCACTGTAGCATGTTTAAGAAAATCCACTTTGAAATCCATGGGTTTACATTACATGCATTGGAATATATGAGCCAAGTTTGACAGGTCATTTCTCAGGATTTCCCTAAAAGGTACAAACATCTCTGCTACCACATGAAAGGCAAGGCCCTACACTATACCTCCACCAAATTTGGGCAACTTTCTCTGTAACATTTTTAAGAAAATTCACTTTGAAATTCATGGGTTTACATTACATGCATTGGAATATATGAGCCGAGTTTGACAGGTCATTTCTCAGGATTTCCCTAAAAGGTACAAACATCTCTGCTACCACATGAAAGGCAAGGCCCTACACTATACCTCCACCAAATTTGGGCAACTTTCTCTGTACCATTTTTAAGAAAATTCACTTTGAAATTCATGGGTTTACATTACATGCATTGGAATATATGAGCCGAGTTTGACAGGTCATTTCTCAGGATTTCCCTAAAAGGTACAAACATCTCTGCTACCACATGAAAGGCAAGGCCCTACACTATACCTCCACCAAATTTGGGCAACTTTCTCTGTACCATTTTTAAGAAAATTCACTTTGAAATTCATGGGTTTACATTACATGCATTGGAATATATGAGCCGAGTTTGACAGGTCATTTCTCAG